ACTTACACTTCCATAATTCAGAATTTCCCACTTTCTCATCATAGCTTAACTCGACAAATGTTGTTTTTGTAAATAGAGTATATTAAACTGTTGTAATTTCTCTACGAATTCTGTCTTTTTTTTGCTTTAAAAAGTTGGAGTTAATAGTGCAATTTTTCGAAGGATCGATTTTTTTTTATAAGTATTTAGTACTTTCAAATAGAAAAAAGTCAGTACGACTGCAGTCTAAAAACAATGTTTTGGGATCTAGGCGTTCAATAGTTACAGTATTCAAAAGCAGTTTGTTCTTATCTAAATGTCATATACATATGAGCCATCAACATCTTTTGTTCGAAATATAACAGTCAGTTATCATTTATACATGCTTGATTAAACAGACGACTCATCCAGTAGCTTTTTATCAGGATTCATGACGAAATTTCTCTAAGTTTTGTGTCACTCTTAAAACATTTTGTGTAGAAATCGAAAATGTGTAACATAGTTTGAGTGGTACTGTCTCATTAAAGATTTTTGACATCTTTAAGACATCAAGTCTCAAAAATTTCGACCTTATGGCCACATATTGATCCGAGACTGATCGTTTCAAAACAATTAGGCTTTTGTTGTACAAAATTACTTATTCTTCTTACACTATCCATAACGGTACATGTAACCTGAATACATGATCTACCACTACTGATATTTGATCATTAGAAGATGTCCATTCTCTTCAAGCTGATCATATATTTTAAGTTAGACGTTGATCAGTTAAAATTTTCAATTTTTAAAATCATTTCATGATGAACTTTATTCAAAAGTAATTCTAAATAAAGTTCGATCTCATCCGTGAATATCTCGAAGAACGCGTTACAAAATCATCATTTGTTAATAATAATGATATCGATTTATTATGAATTTATGCCGCAGTAGTTGTTATTGTCAAAAAAACAGAAGCAGACGATTATTAAACTTTTTCGTTATACGATAAATGAAAGAATGTCACTCTCACATTCTTTCCCGTTAAAACTTTCTATTTCTACTGTAAGAAAATGTAAGATGACGATATGCATCTTATTTATCATAACAACAATAATAATCTTGAGGCAATTTTGATTAAAATGAAGAAGAGAAGGATGATGAGAGAAGAGAAGATCATTCTTTTTCTCATCATCCCATATGGTGGCTCACTACTTACTTATCAACTCTCACCATCAAAGCTGTGATAGATATATGTGTATATGTATATTAGTCTCCTCTTATTTACGCGATTTTACCATTCCGGTATGTCATTTTAAATTCTTGTCATCCAAACACTCGTGTACTTATTAATGATCTTCACACCTTCGCAATTAATCATGTGTTTTCTCATTGGATAAAACCGCTATCATATTAAAATATCTTTGATTTATTTTTTTGTTGACTAATAACTCCCAAAAAACAAACAAATTTCCGAAAGATCTTCATTTTACAAAACATTTGTCAGAGTTAAATAAAACAAAAGTCTACCCGTAAATGGAATAGGCAAGAACATTTTTCCTTTGTTTTACCAGTGATCAGCATTAAACTTGTTAATAGTTCTATAAAATATGAAAGATACTGTAGTCAATATGATAAAAAAATGATGCTGAAAAATCATTCATTTAGACCAATCAAAATAGACACAAAAATGATCGCTGATGTGAGTATCATTTTTTGAAGAATACTCTTTGTGATCAGATCAGTATTATCATAATATACAAAAAAAAAAAATGGATACGACAAATACTTAATGATGTTATTTTGATTTATTTTGCAAATATGTTTGCTTATACAAACAAATTGTATAATAGACAAGACTATAAACATATCAATATATTTCATGTTGTACATGTATTTAAAAAGAAACCCTACATAATGGTTTATACTTGTCTTTTTGATCATGATGGTAATGATAAACCATACTTTCTTTGCTTTAGAAATTAATGATGCATGCAAAAATGAGGTGGGTTTTATAACATGAAAAGTAATTAATCAATAAAATTTAATTTTTGAAGTACATGGACATGACGGATTTTTTCTAATGCTTTATAAAATATCTTATATGATATTTTTTCCATTACCATCCAAAAAAATTATACTAGATTAATATTTTATCAACTATTTATTGAATTTGTATATTATCTAAGTTATCTTAAAATGATAGCTGAAGTAACTTGAATAAAACTTTTATTTAATATATAATTGTTGACATTGACACCATAAATAGAAAATATATATTTCAGATAAATATCTCCAGAGTCTAATTCGACTATGAGACTATCAGAATGAATAAAAAAATAAAATTTATAATCAAATTCGTTGGTGAAAGTTATTAAAAGTTATAAAAATCTGATATGTTGCTATCAAATTAATAACTGAACAAAAGTGATTTTCTCGTTAAAAATAATGTTGAGCTATCTCTAATCGAAAGTTAGAATCCCATCGATTTGTTACTTAGATCTCTTTTGACTAATATCTAACTTATATATTAGAACAATGTTATGTTTCTTTATGAAATATACGGAAATTATCAATAATGGAAAAATGATATTTTGAGTATGATTTTTAGAGTGAAATGAGCATAGTCCATACTAAAAAGAAAACTTTATCCATCGATAAGTATTTGTTTTCATCATTTGATTGATGATCATCACTACCATAATATTTATGAATACTGTTTTAATCGAGTTTCGTTCAATCAAAAAAAAAATCAAGGCGTGGTCTAACTTGTCATCGTCAAGTTTAGATGATGTGTGCCTTGTAATTTAGTATATCATCGACTACCAACAACAACTAGTTATAATTGACAACAAACGAAATTAATTGAAGAAGCCGCGCCACTCATATGGCATTTCGCATCCTCAAAGTTGTCAATTGATGATGAACTGATGATAGGATAAGAAAATGAGTGAAGATTTTTCTTCTTCTTTTTTGTTATTATTATTATTTTTCTCTTTTCATGTTTCGTTAGTGATCTTTTTGTTGTATAGATGATATATGTGACTGAGAACGCCTTCTGAATAATTGACTAACTGTATTGTACCTATTTAGTTAATAGGCAAATTTTTAAATTAAACGATGTTTTTTTGTAAAAGATATATGCTCTTAGGGTCTTTACAAATTCTCATATTATATTTAATATAAAAAGTTTTTCAAATCGTAGTCTAATTTAATGTAGAAAATTAGATGCTTGTAAACATCATTTAGAAATTTCTGATGTCTAGTTAATTCCATAAAATATATAAAGACAATGAGTGAAATAGAAAAATTTGATAAGTTTATCCTCGATGTAGATAATTCTGTCAATGTGTGCTGTTACTTTTTTTCGGCGCTTCATCAGTAAATAACATCAAAAAAACACGCAAAAAGAAAAATATACGAATTAGTGTTGATTATTTCTATCATACATTGATCTTTCTATTGGATATAATCATCTACACCAACAAAAAAAAAAAATAATCATAATATAACCTTTTTAACGGTTGATTTGTTGGCGTATATCGAAGAAGTTGGTTCGAGCTCATTTACGATCAATAATGAGTTTTCCATATGAGCGAGCTCCTTGATTATGCAAGTAAGAAGTATATTATTTTTCAATTAGAGAGAAAGTCATAGACATAGTCTATTAACTACTGGAATAATAATGTGATAATTAACCTATGAAAATGTGTTAAATAGACATATCAATTACTTTGCCTGATGATCAAGTCTAAACGTTAGACTAGAAGTCGACGGGACTCGTTCTACTTTCGTTTCTCATCTGACAGGAAAATAATGTGAATGATAAAAACTCAAAAGCTTATTTTTGTATTTTAAAACTTATTTTTCCTTTTTTGTAATAAGTTTGTCAATTGATGTTCATGTCTAGTTTTTTTTGTATTAGATTTCTTACATGCCTCTTAAATTCAACAGTTCATCTTAATTTGTATAGATATCCATTCATCGTTAATAATATTCCTTTAATTAAAGATGAGTGAAAAAGATAAAACGATCAATGGTGAGAATAATATCCAAGATGTGGAAAAAAAACTCGAAAATATTCAGTTGTAATTCAATCGTAACAATGAAAAACATTTATTGGCACAGTAATGGAAAATGAAAAAGTTGTTTTTACAGACTTCTATGTTTGACTAATTCATACAGCCAATTTTAAGAAGGAGAAAACGAATATTATAAATTATTATTTGAATTAAAAGTCGTCTGATAACTTTCTGTATCCGCTACTATATTCTATCTATTACGTATCTATTCAATATTGTTCTATTTTCATTCTTCTCTGTTTTTATTCACAAATATTCAATATGTAGAATTCTTCAAGAGATTTTAAGAAAAGTAGCTGTTGAAAAGGTAATTTTATATCGATTCAAGTAAACACTATGATCAATAATCAATTCTTTTCAATATAATTAAAAACCTACTTTTTTAGAGTGCTAATATTGGACTTTGGGAAATATAATTTAGATGTTCAGTTGTAAAGTGTATTTTCATAACTGTTTAAGAACTTTAATAACATATTTTTATGTGTAATCGTTTGACCACATAATAAGAATAATTGGTAATGATAAGTTAACATATAGAAAGTTGTTAATTGGATGGATGTATCATCATTTATTGTAGTAATATATTGACATATATCTATCCATCTCTCTATCTATACAAATGATGGTGATTGGACAATAAAATCAAACGAAAATAGAAAGAAAAAATATTTTTTCACTGGTTACATATAGACGCGATCATATTACAATCGTTGTCGTGTAAAGAAGAGAAAAAAAAAATCATGATTCGTCGATTTGCATAGTTGCTCCTCTCGTCGACAACAACATTACAAAGAGTAATTTGTATAAAGAAGAAGAAAAAAAAAGAAAGAAAGCGAATTGAGTGTTTGTTATACATACTTTTCACTCTAATTATTATTAACTGCTGATAGTCAATCATTATCGAGGTTATTAACACTTGGTTATTATACACAATGCTATTTAATTCATACTAAAAAAACAAGTATGGGTGCTATTGATTATACGTCTCGTTCGTCTCCAAATTATGATGACAATAATTCACTATCATCATCATCATCATTATCTGAACATGTATCAGCATCACATTCTCCTAAACTACGAACAACATCATCATCTGTTTCATCAACAAATTCTTCATCATCTGTAACACATCTAAAACCGACAAAATCATTTTTTATCTCCGACATATTAAGTCCAAATTTTGGTCCCAATGAAGATTGTCATAAATCATTTAATGCAAAAAATTTTACGTCACCAACGCCACAAACACCATCCAGAAAAACTTGTAATTCAAATAATCAAAAAACATCATCAAAATCTTCATCATCATCCACATCATCGACAATTAATTTATGGCCAGCGTGGGTCTATTGTACAAGATATTCTGATCGTCCATCGGCTGGTAAGTGCGCTTGTCTTACTATAGCCCCATTCAGTTTTGTTATCACAGATAGTATGTAGTGACGTTACATTGACCTATATCAAGATACACTAGCTTTTTCCGTTAAAGTTTTAATTCGTATTAAGTTTCTTTGAAATTTTTGTCTCGCAAACTGTGAAAGTTAATTAGAGAGAGATACCATTCGTAGGAATATTTGTTTAAAGAGACAGTGAGAAATACTTCTTAAACAGTTTATTTTGTCTGTGTCTGAACGGGCACACGTAAATCTTCAGCGTTTGTCTATTAGCCGAGTAATTGTTTGTAGTGTGACTAGAGAATTTTGAATAAAAAAAAACGGTTTTGCATGGTTCAATCACCATTTTTCTTGTAAAAATTAAAAATAATATACGTTGTCATGTCTAAATCGGCCACAAGGACAAAATAGACAGTAGAACATGATAAAGCAAGAATATCATGATCAGTTTCTATCTCCATAAAAACATGGAGGACTAAGATAAGGTCAAACTGTTTGTTTTCTATAGATTTGCAAAAAAAAAAAGAATATCGGTAACCCCTATGGGGCAGAGGTATAATTTGAGGAGACTATGTGCCTAGATTCTATCTTCTTTTCTATCGCTAATTAGAAAAACTATTGAAAACCCCAACAATTACTAAAGAACTTGTAACTGTAAGGCAAAAAAATGATAGATGATATGGTTGTAGTCTATGATAGATGGCAAAAATAATCATGCTGGTTATAGTATCTAACATCATTCTCTCTTGTATAGGTCCTCGTGCTCGAAAACCAAAACCAAATGAATCTCTTGATTCTAAGCGTCCTCGAACAGCGTTTACCAGTTCACAATTATCTCGTCTAAAAGATGAATTTGAACGTAGTAAATATTTAACGGGTGAACGACGACAAACATTAGCAAATGAATTGGGTTTAAATGAATCACAAATAAAAATATGGTTTCAAAATAAACGAGCAAAAATTAAAAAGACAAGTGGTGTACGTAATACATTAGCCATGCAATTAATGGCACAAGGACTCTATAATCATGTATCATCAATGTCGAATAAAGATGATGATTTAGACGATGATGTGGATCTTGATGATTGCTAAAGGAACACACATCGTATGTAAACACGCATCTTATTCTAGTCACAATAGTTGGGGCGAAATGGAAGAGGGAAATAGGCGTACATAACTACAAACTATTTTACTTTATCTGGAAGCCTGATTCTTTGTTTCTGCAATATCAATTATCCGGATTTAAAATTTGTTGTACAAATTTGTTGTTTCTTTTTTCTTTGTTTATTTTTATTTCTAGTCGATTTTTTTTCTGTCTCTCTCTCTCTCTCTTTATATATATATATATTTTACATTTCTTAATCAGTTCAACAAAATAAAAAAGACTATTTCAACTATTCACAATTAGTTCATAGTCGAATAGATAGTTACATATTATATAAATATTGAGAATTATTATCAACTAAAAGTTCAAACCATTATTTCAGATTCATCTATTTAGATAAATTATTATGAAGAATAATTGATGTTTCTCTATTTAAAAATATTCACAGTTCACCGTCTAATCACATCCACTTCAAAATCTCAAAACAACTCTAATTTTGAATAATAAATTATATCTATACTCCTTTCCTTTGGAAACCTAATGAAATGTTGTTAGAATGAATGTACACTCATCATATTTTATCTATTGTCTCATTAACTTATATAATACTGACCTCAAAACATTAATAGTTGAATTTATTGTTATAAATAAAATAATCAAATATATGTAGAACATGTGTCGGTGCATTATTTATCGAATAATTTTTATTATTATCATGGTCAGATGAGAGAGAAGAAAAAAAAAATTGTATTTTTTTTTTTTTGTGTTAATAACAACTGTTTTTCTTTTCGGAATTGTTTCTTAAATAAGTGATCGTACGTAATAATAGAAAAAATAATCGCTATTATACCTATCTATATACTGTTTGAAGTAAATAGTTGATTTCATTTTTGTAGACAATGTTGATTTGCATAAATTTAGATAACATCTGTTTTTTTACTACTTATTGAATGTCATGACGGACAGTTGGCGGTTTTCTTGTTGACACTACAAAAAGAGAGAAAAAATAATCATATTGATGGTGCGTGGAGAAAATACTTAATTATTAACTTCTGCTTAGATTTACTAGTATTTTTTCATGTTATAGTTAAAAAATGGTCAACAATAAATATCATAAAATTATTTACTAATAATTATCATAAGAAAGTTATAGTTAAACTAATTTCAATTCTTGGTAAAGTCTAGAAAACTATTTGAATTAATTGACAAGAAATCATTTTTTCAATCTAATAAAAAAAATTTCTTCTCATCAGGGAATCACCAAAAACAAAACAAAAAAATAAGGTATGACTGTGTTGCATACTATTAAACTTTTGTCCATCTCATATATTTGATAAATACAAGACGAGTTTTTGATCAATTAAACTAATACTCGTGCATAGAATTAAGGGGCGGGGTTACTCTCATGATTCTAGAATTTTTCCAGTTTATAAACTTTTAATCAGAAACTATGAAAATATGAAACAACTACCAATAATAAGAAATTAATGATATTAATTGGTTAACTTTCAATATTTGAACAGGCAAAATGTTGGTTTAAAAGTAGTTTTAAATTTCCCATGAGTAATGCGTATGACAATTTGTGAGTAAATGTGTGTGTGTCTGTGAGTAAATTGTGAGAAGAGGCGAGAAAAAGAGAATTTCTTGTATTAATCGAATTACCAGAGTGAATGCAAAAAACCAAAGAGAAATTTGAGTTGAAGAAAGGATTGTTTTTAAGAAGTTAAACGGTATATATAATGTCATTTCCATTAACTGTTTGATCAAACATGGTGCCGACCATAAAATATTAATAGAGTAAATTAAAAATAATAGTAATAATGATTGATTATCAACATATTTTATTGCTGTTGTTACTGATCTTCAATTGATTTTCCTGTAGTTAATCTAATTAAATGATAACAGTATTCAATACTTTTAATTATATTACAGATATTAATCGAGCTTATCTGTAACTAATAGAAAATTCTCACTAGTTGAACTACTATCACTAAATAGAATAGTATTTTATACTACAGTGAAAATACTACATTGTATTCAATATAGAAAACGTCAAAATTTAAATTTAATCTCCAATGACAGTTTAATTTCGAAATATACAGTTTGTTTATTTCTTACGGAGATAAAAATCAGGAGAAGAAAAAAAATCAGTATGTAAATTGATGAATACAGAGTAAAACAAAAAATAAAAAAAGTTTTTAATTCTGTATCATAGATCAATCAATATCAAATGTTGTTGTTGTTATTAGTTAGCGAGTCAAATGATAGATATATCATTGTGTGTCTATACATACATAGATTCATTTCATTTATGATTGAAATCAGTACAATTCGTTTATTTCAATCATTTATTACAATCTCATACACGTTCTCTCTTAATCGTCTCACGCACATATACACACACAGAGATTCTTATACAAATACGTGACTTATTGAGAATAAAAATAAATCTCTGAGGATAGTTATTTGCGTAGCCAAACACGCATGTCGTAAGATGAAATTAATGTGTTCCCATAAATGTATCAATATATTACATTCACAATTAATGTTGTTGATGATTATTATATTTCAGTCGATATATACACTTGGGATTATTATTGTTTCTAATTTTAACTTAAATAATAATAGAGGAACAAATAAAATCTATTATATCCTTATCACATTATTGAAAATTTCAAAGTTACTATGTAGAAAGAAAATATATTTTTATTTATTTATTTATTAATCAGTTATTATCATTATGACGACTCGTCTACAAATCGTGTTGAGCTATTTATTCAATGTATTCTTTCTGAAGAAAATCCGTTAAGGATTCCTCGTCAACAATCTATTTTCAACATCAAACACAGAATCTAGAGAAAGCTTTCATAGAAAGTCTTATGTCTTGTCTTTCATATAAGTCTTATCCAGGTTAGACTAGGATAAATTTGAAAACTTGAGTTACCCTTAAAATAGTGGTCAAAAAGTAGGTGTTTGTAATTCCAAGATTTCTCCTTAATTTGCTAAAAATCTCGGATTGGTCTTAAAATGTTACCAAGACTTAGTTCTAGAGCATAGCAAAGCCCAATTTTTAATTTTTATCTTTGAAAATTAGAATTGGAATCAACGAAGAAAAACTTTGCTAACGTTTCGAAAATTTTTTATTTTTCTCAAAACCAAAGGCAAAAATCAGAAATTGGGCTCTGTTATAGCGTAGAACTAAGCCTTGGCAACATTTCAAGACCAACCCGAGATTTTTAACACTTAAAATGGAAGAGGAAACTTGGAATTAGGAAAAGTTACAAATGCAAAAATCGATTTAGAGGAAAAAAAGAAAAAAGAAAAATGGAGTTTATGATGATATTGGAAAAATGCTAATAACTTTTCACTAGAATATCACACAGAACTCAGTAACCTCTCATTTTGAAGAGAAACGTTTGGTTAACATTCACGGATAATAAAATCACAAAATATGGTCAAATATGAGGAAAACTAGGAAGATCTAATCTTGAGAGTTTAGAAAACTTTTCCAAAATTCCTCAAAAACCATTGATATCTGATTTTTCAAGATGAATTCTCAAAGTAGACATCTATCTAACTAAATGTGTAACTCCATATCGCAACTTTACTCAAAACACAGAAAATTCGAATTTCTGACGCCCATTAGACATTTACATTACACGATGCTCCTCGTGAGTAAGCGTTAATGAAGTTTAAGGCTATTATTCAACGACGAATTTAATGAATGAGAATCAAAATATAAACTAACCGTATTTTTCTGCTTCTTTTTGTTGTGTAATTTCTCAAATCAAGTCATAGATGTGCTTACTCATCAAATATTTGTAATTCATTCTGAATAATCACATTACATATCTTGGAAATTTTCGTCAGAAATTTCAAATATCCAACATTTACTCTACATTCAGGAGACCACATCATTTCTCATATACTCGGTTATTTGTATTTAGAAGGAGGGAAATTTTAGTGCTTCTCGGTCTAAGTAACAGCGTTTACTCACACCAATTTCAAAGTCGAGATATCGAGACTGTTTCTAATTGATTTTTGGAAATAACTGTTTTTATACCGTCTCAATCAGGATGAATCATATACTATAATAACTGATATGTACACTTTCACGACATATTAAAAATTACATGAAATGAAGTTAAATCTTAGATCTTTCAACAACGTTCCGTATTTAAGAATATAATCTATTGTTTGATCTTCTTACTGTCTAACACATTTGGTTTGTCCAGTGCAGACTCAGACTAACCATGTAAATCATTTGTGCATAAAAATGAAAGAAAATCTCACACCTACTATTACATATATTGATGAATTACGAATATTTATTTAAAACAAAATCCCAGTAAAGTAAAATAATTAAGTATGGGATGGACGAATACATTCAAAATCGTTTTTTTACACAAAAATGATTGAAGTTTGTTATAAAAAAACATACACACACACAACAAATTTATTTATCAAAAGAAATATAGACAGAGATAAATATTACAATGAATAGTAAAAGAAAAAAAATAAATATTTGATCCAACACGAAAATGTTTTTTACAACGTACACAAAACTGAACAAAAACAAATTGTAGATATATATTTGAATTGTTTTGTTCTTATTCGCATCTTTATGTTTTCTTGCCATTATTTTCTAAGTTTCTAGAAACAAAACAAAAATTGACAGAAAATATAGTTGTAAAAATTGAAAAAGACAGTCAAATAAGAATTACTCGATGCTAATTTTCTTTGTTGTAATTGTATACCATTTTGCAAACGTTTTGAACTTTTTCTAGTTTGTGTTTTATATCTTTTCACAACTTGCGATGATGCCAGAATTGTTGTTAACGAGGAATTGGGAGTTGATGTCAGTGCCTAAAGAAACGATAGAATTTATTTACACTATTAGACATTAACAACACACAGTAAGTCCTACTTTAACGTGACCATTTGAATTAGTTAATATTTGTTCAAAACTACTTAGTGTTGTTTGATCATGATTTGTTGCTGGAACCTTTAAAACTTTTGACTGAGATGATACGCCTGTAGAAACAGGTTTAGACTCGACAATAGTTGATTTTGCTACAGAAATTTTTTTTGATTGTGTTTTGATTAACAATGGTTTCTAGAAATAACAGAAAAGTTTATATTTCTCCTATATTAATGGATAAATGCGTCGTCTATATACCTTTTTTATATCACCGTCTGTTTTTATTTCTGAAACAGTATTTATTGTCTTTTGTAATGATTTTTCATCTTTTATCTCGTCAAAAAGTTCTTTTATCGATTTATCATTCAATAAAAATACACAATCCGTATTTTCATTTTTCCATATTTGTAATTTTTTTAATAAATCTTCTTCTAATTTTGGTAATAATTGATTAAAATATTTACGCTGTTGTACTTCTTTGGAGGCCATGTAGCCTCGTTCATGAAATCGTTCGGAACTTTTTGACCATTGCTAAAACAAAAGATTTATTTATTTTTTCATATTTTGACCAAATAGATCATTTTTACATTAAATTTAACAAATTCATTCCACGTATTAAGCCATAATTTATAAGAATCAATAATTGGTTGCCGAACAATATACAATTGTTCTAAACGTTCCAATTCACGATCGTATTTATCAAGTTTTTCAGGTGATAATTTTTCTAGAAAAATAGATTCAACATGAAGAAATGAAGATATAATAAAGATTTGTATCTTACCATTATCAATGACAATCAAACAGTTACGTTCACTTATGCCAACTTGACATTTTTCATATTCATTTAAAATTTTTGTACGTATATTATCCACATATGTTTGAGCATTTTTCATACGTTCCGCACGACATCGTTCAATTTCACTTTCAAGCTAGATAAAGAGAAAACAACTCTTTTATATTAATGAGATAGAATGAATCGTTCGTCAAAATACAATTGAAGAATTCATTACTTGAAGAACTCTTTACTTCTTAAAACTCTTCTAATTATGTACAAGTAAATTTTTGAAAACATTCTTTGGATTGGCCGAACAAAGGAAGATTTACTACACGCATTAACTTGTAAATCCAAGAATATTATTCAAAATAAGACGTCTGTGGATTTTAAAGATATATCCTGTTATGAAATATAATTACCTGCTTTATAATAATTGAGTTAACTGATGTTTCATTGAATGCCAAACAAAAATTATCCTCTGTTATCTTCAATGTTCCATACAGTGAAGTTAATGTTTGACGTAGTTGATGAAAATGATCTTTTTGCAATTGAATTTGATTGTCAAGCTAAAACATGAAGAGGATATATAAATGAGACGAATGTCATAATGCTACTAGATTCAACGTACATCTTTTATTACAATTTGAATATTGTTGAGAGCCTCTTCTGTCAAATATTGATCATAACATTCGTTTAATAATAGTGAAATTGATGGTATTGATGACGGTTCTAATTGCAATTTTTCGTACGAATTTAATAAATTTTGACGGTATTCTGCCAGTTTTTGTAAACGCAACGCCTAAAAAAAGAATGTATAGTACTGACAACATACTGATTTTATTCAGTAATTACAAACGTACTTTCAATGCCTCAAGTGTTAACAAATGATTCTGTAATTTTTCAATATAGGGCAACAGGCCAACGGTAGATTCTACAAAATAAAAGAAAATAATACTTCTAATAAAAGAAGAAAGTGGATAATAGCGTAATATGAGGTATCAGTCTTTCAGGTGAGTGTAATGATAAAAATGTAACGTTTTTTACAGATGAAGCTCTCATGTAGGTTTAAAAAACTAACTTACCATTATCAATTCCCAATGGTGATGCATCTAGTATTTTACATAGACTTTGTTCTTTTTTTTCTAAATCCCATTGCTTATGTAAATAATCTTCTTGGATTTTTAATAATTTATCTAATTTTGTTTGTATATATATTTCTTTCTCGCATAATTTCAGCGTCTCATATCTATTACACTAAAATAATTCAGGTTAAGAATATCTTTTTGAAAAGAACTACATACATTCAAATCATTTTGAAGTCCCAATTGAAGTAACATATCTTCATAATCATTTTGTTCTCAATGAGAGCTTTTATTCTATTATCACGTTGCAAATCAAACTCATTTTCTTGAAAGTCGATTATTTTCTAAAAAGTAAGTAGTTAAATAAAGTAATCGATATTATTAAGAAGGTGGGGCGGCACATCACTAGTTATTCGGCGTTACTTTACCAGGTTAGTTACAAAGTTAGTTACTTGTTACTAGTAAAGAAGTTTCCAGTTACTTTGTTACCAGTAATGAGTAACTAATTTTATTACTTCGTTACTTTCTGGAGAGTAACGAAGTAACGAAATTAATTACTCGAAGTAACTAAATCAGTTATGCGTTACTAGTTACGAGCAAAGTAAAGGTAAATTGCCATCCAAATTATGAAGTTGTTTAACTACAACAACGATCGCAGTTCTCTTTTAAGTCATTCATTTTTATCTTTAATAATGTTAACTGACAATCATATTTATAACTTTAAAAAAGTATGAATTATACATACTATTGACTCAACCTACTTTTACGTTATTTTCTACAACTATAACTTTTCGCTGCCACTGATCATTTGTTAGTCCAATATTTGACAAATGAGACCAATCATTTATTACACTGGCATTCAAAACGAGATCATCGTGTGTATTTTTCATTATCTATAACGAACAAAAAACATTAATACTTCTACGTAAAAGTGATATTTATTTCAATACAAAAAAGATATTAGATCATATTATAACAACAATCACAGAACGTCGTCTAATTCTAAAATCCTGCTTCTATAAATACGCATTTACCAATTGAAACATCCATGTAATCTTTCAAAGGTAGTTCCAACAAAACTCTAACCAATGTAGAGTTATGCTCTCCCGAATAAAACATTTCTTTTAAACCAACCAAAATAAGGATAGAAATTCAAAAGGATAGAATCTAACTTTTTTCAAATTTGTCTTGCTGTAGTAAAACTTAGATGATGATCACTCTTGTTAAAACGTCTCTGTTAGACTTTGCAAGAAATTCTGTAGTACGAACAATTAGTTATAAATAATTTAAACGAGTATCTTTCGTCAACCAGTTGCTGCTAATATTTAATGAAACATAGTGTAGCCACTAATTTTTCTCACATAACCATTTAATTTATCACCAACTATATATATTTGTTCTGTTCTAACACGTGTCGATATTCGTCTAAAAGCTTATTGTATTGAACACTCTCACATATAAATTCGTCATGTTATCATCAATGCAGTGACAGTTATCAGTAGTTGTACACAATGGTGAGCAAACCATTGTGAAAGATTAATCTAGAACATTTCAGAAAAAGCACAATGCAAACAGACTACAAAGAGAACTGGGTAAGATGACTTTTAAAAGAAAATAGAGAATATAAATCCCGTGAAGTAAAATATAATACTGATACGTGTTCTAAAACATAATAAAAAGCTTGTAACTGTATAGATCGTGAAAAATGTGTCAAAATTCAAAAATGTGTCATCTTTTCACATATCACTAAAGTATCTCACATATTACAAGATGTAAACGATAAATGTAAGATAAAATATTAAAAATAGAAATATAGTGCTAAAAAAATTTATTTGGTTTTCTTGCGTAAGCTCGACTATCGAAACTACGGCATTGAGCAGTTCATTTCGTATTAAAAAAAGTATACACCAAAACTAAATATAAATAACGTACAAACAGTTCTTAACCAAAAAGAATCATTTCGCTGAGATGAATAATTCGAGTCAAGTCATATAAGAAAAAAATAATAGAGACTGTGTTACTCTTTGAAATTTACAAACGACAAATAAAAAAACACATGCTGCTGGTACTTTTTCTTGAATCAAATGCAAAATAAGATGACGCAGAAAAATGAGCAAAAAAACCCCCTAATAATACTGAAATATGCTTAGCTTTCACCAGAAGAATTTTTTTCTAAAAACAATTTTCGATTTGTTTCAATCATCTCGAGTTTCAATTTTTCATACAATGTACGATAATTGGCAGGAGCTGTTGAAGGTTTAGGATGTGCCTAAAAGATAAACGAAATTTTTATAACTATGATTCTCTTAGTAGAGTGCAGCTTACCGCTTGTACTCTTCGTGCTTCTTCCGCTTTTAAATTTGCTACTGTCTGTTGCAAATTGTTTGTCTTCACTAAGGTGCAAATGAAAAACGATAGTAGATAATCTGATTATCTGTCATATAATATACTAACTCAGATCTCGTCGAACAATATCTGCCGGAATATTTTGAATAATTTGTTGCACACTTCTTACCATTTGTTCAAGTTCCAAACGTCGCTGAGCTAAAAAAATTTGTTATTCAAAAAATTCTTGTATTAAATACTTTATTTATTGAAACATACTTTGTCTCTGTGTAAATAGATATGGGTGTTTCTTCAATTCTCTTACATCACCATCCGTATATTTGGTACATTCAACATTCAGTGAGCGACACATATTTTCTCGTACAATTTCGCAATAATTATCATCTGTTGTGCCTTGTGGAACAGAGCATGGTGGTTGGAAGCTAGAAATAAAAATAATTTTACATTATCAATCATATTATATGTATACTTTTAACAATACGTACCGAATATTAAATTTAGTGGAAGGAGAAAATAAGTACCAGAATAAATCAAAAATTAAATTACTGTTAAATACACTCTGTGAATGAAAGAAGAAATAAACGGCATTGTTGAAACAACAAACAGAGAAAATTGAAATACCGTTCGTATCTGAAATGGTCTCTCAGATTGTATAGCAATTGGCACAATGTCGATGCTGTTTTCTTTAGCAAGTTCAAATGGTAGAGTACTGTAACGAACAGATCAATACTTTTAAAGGTTTTCTACTTAGTTTACAGTACACTTACTCAAATTTCAACATGCCAACCCCACTCGTATATTCTCCTTCGGGGAAGAATAGCAAACTCTGATCTAAAGAGAAACATATGTGAACGTTGCAATCACAGAATCTGATTTCACATACTTTCCTGACGAAGTAAATTCGAACATGATTCGCGCAATGTTTCTTTTGTGCATTCAAAAGACAAACAACCTAATAGACGATTAACACATGCCTCTAAGCGATCAGACCATGATATTGATGAGAGTAATTTTACCTAAAAACAACAAGAGAATGCGAAAATAAAGGAAGAATAACGACGATCGTTAGTAACGCACTGCCTTGGATTCTCCAATAAATTTTCTCACAGCAACTGCATCTAATGGCGATAATTGATTGCATACATAAATTTTTTTATAATGAATTGTTGAATTTTCGACATTGTATGTAAATGCCAATATGAAACTTAGCGCTTCATTTGAAAATCTATTTAAAAAACAACATAATCAAACTGTTTAGTCTACGACGGAAAGTTTCATATAAGAGAATGTTTTTAAAAAGCTAATAGTTCAATTCACTTGCAATTTAACAATAGTAATGAAGACTATAAATGCAGAATCGATCTATAAAATGTATCGGGATAAACTATCAAATCCAATTTGTTGAATGCGTTCTTTTGCAAACTCAAAAGACAAAAAAGATACTGAATTTGAAGACAAGAAAGCTTAGACGAAAAAAAATGTTTCACCAGTTCAAAAACAACAACAGCTAATTATAGTTAATTCGTAGTATCTTAAGAATCTAGGCAAAAAATTTGGAGTTTTGAGGTTAGACAAATGTATCACTACATACCTCCCATAGCTCAATTTAATATTTTGCATTACAGAAATACCCATGAAAAGTTTGTTTGATTTGAGTTGTCGTTATCAGAGGTCGATCGGTGACCCTTAACAACTCTCACTTGAATAAATTTAATTTAAACATAAAATCAGTGTTTTGAGATTTTCTTTTTTTCCACTGGAAGATACTAATACCTGCTGGCATATAGTGTGCATCAGGACGGACTGTTGGTTAAAAATCGAAACTACACTTTTCCGAATTCAAAGAGAGAAAAACATACGCGAATCCATCAACAATTTATTGTCATGAAAGTTTTTTGATTGTGGAAAACTGCTTGGCCAAAATTTTGACCGAAAATACAGGCACGTGATAAAGAATTTTTATTAAGTTCAAGGATGTTATGAATAAAAATGATACGGATTCTGAATTTGACACTTTCCGCTATCTAACAGCGGACGAATTTCATTTCTCGGACTTCAAAAATCAGAGAAATAAAAATAGTTTCTCAGCTAATCTGGTTTCTGCACAGCTATGAGCATCATACTGAGCGTACCGCATTCCGTCCAAGTTCAAACTAGCTCAAACTTTGTATAAATATTCTTCTGCTTATACTACACCAATAGCGTAAACTAGCATAGACATTCCTGGACCATTCAGAATTTTTGTCCGAAAATTTTTTTCAAAACAATCTTATACTGGAGGGTGTTTCACAGAAATTCTTAAGTGCTTGACTTAGATTTAAGTCATACTTAAGTCTTCGTTTTGTCTTAAGTTAAGCTAGACTTAATTTTGAGTGTTTCACAAAAATTCTTAAGTTAAGAGTAGTCTGTACTTGTCTTAAGTTTGTCTTAACTCTTGTTGCGGTTATAATATGATATAAAAACTGAGATATTAGAGTAAACAAACAACATTTTTTAACTGTTTTTTATTGACACTTGTATTTTGCGAAATAAATAAAAATAATAGCGCTAGTTAATCAGTGGTTGTTGAGAAGGGCGTTACGCTGTGAAAGAAATTTTTTTGACAGATAAAACCCTATGGAAACCATGGCAGACGATTTATTGATGGCGCGTTATCGTTTTCATTAATATGTCTTACAAGTGCCTCCAATGTGTCCTGGTCTTATTGTGTCTAGCATGTGTCTACAACTACGAAAAAATGAAGACATTTTTAACAGCAAAAGGCTTTATACTTAAATCTTGATTAGCTACATTTCATCATTATAAAGCATTTTTAGCATTAATTCTACCCTTCTACTACAAAAAGCGTGAAAAGGTGACGTTACACTAAATATCATTTTTCAAGCACTCAGATTTGCTCAAACACACTCCACTAAAAGAACTCTTTGTGTACTCACAAAATATAATTTATATGACCTACTTTCCTTCTCCTTTCATGAGCTGTCAAATTCAAATTTGTTCTAAATTTTACGTATCAAAATTTTTTTGTTCGTGAAAGCCTGCACAAAATTGCACAATATAAGAAAAACAGGTTTTTCAATTTCGACTTTGTTTCAGAGAAAACTGTAGATGTTTGGGTTACAGCAGTTAACAATTTTTAGCTTTCTACCCGAAATGTTCGTAGATGACAGACAAACATTTTTATCTTAACCTGTTCACATTATGAACTTTAGTTCTTAAAAGTTTCATTCAAATCCGTTAGAAAAAAATGTATAGAGAAGATCCTTAAACCAACACACCACTCTGTTAAAAAGGATTTTGTTCAACGAAACGATTCCCCATGAGCGAAAAGTTTTATTAATGAATGTTCTTCGAGTAGGAAAAACCATCTAGTCAAGAAAAAATTAAGTTCTGGAGAAACTATAGGCTTCTGGATAGCTACAATAGCAAAAAACATGTTTTTATGTCGACAGACATTATCCGATTGCTCAGAGTTTTTTCTCTCTTTTTTTTTTGTTTAATCATATTTTTTGAAAAATGCGCACGCAGTGATGTAGAGAACTTCTAGAAACGCGAAATGGTTCTCCAGGTACTGCAGATCATGAATATTGAGCGTTCTTTTTCCAAAATCTAAGAGACTAAGATTGTTTTATTCACGGAAAGTGACATTTATCATATATTCATTAACAGCTTGTTGTCAGATGCTCCTAACAGCAAGCACCTGACTCAAGCGCCATTTAGTCACGGGTTATTCAGATACAGTTTATCTATGAATATGTGATTGATATTACAAATGAGTCATTGCGATTTATTTGTTTTTAATCTCTTTTTTCTCTTTTTCCCATATTTTCATACGCGCATGCCATATTCCAACTATCACGAATTCTATTCTTTTTGGAAAAAGTGCGGTAGATTGCAATGGATCTATGCATCAGTTAAGTGCGTGGACTTAACTTAAGACCGTACGACTAAGTTGTACACTTAACTTTAAGTCAAACTTAAGTTTGAAGTTGTGCAACACTTTAAGTTCGTCAACTTAAGTTTGTCACAAACTTAGATGAGACATGGACTTAAGTGTAGACTTAAGAATTTCTATGAAACACCCTTCTGCCTCCTAAATGATTGCAAGTGGTTACTATGTAAAAAAAATCCTATTTCTGATCAAAAAAGACTCAGATCCCTATGCTCTAGCAGAAAAACTAATACTAAGAGAGAATATGAGTAACATACAGAAACACAATCTATTTTTGCTCTATAAATTTATTGAACTGATCGTCGACTATATATTTGTAGCAAGAGAACTACACTGTCCCGGAAAAGCATACTTTTAGAAAAAGCACACTTAAATTGTGCCAATGGCATGGAAAAAGTGTGCCAAAGTATGCTTTTTATGTGCTGCTAGCATGCTTTTACCATGCCATTGACACATTTCTAGTGTTCTTTCGGTACACTGCGGTAGCATTTTCGGACGCTTTTTGTGTGCCACTTCTAAAAGTGTATCATCGGCACACTTCAAGTGCGTCATTAGCGCACTTAAAGTGTGCCGATGACGCACTTGAAGTGTGCCGATGATACACTTTTAGAAGTGGCACA